CATTAATACCTACTTTTTTTAAAAAAAGTTCAACAATATACTTGTTGTTAGTACTATGTTTAAAAAATACTAATGATAGAAGTATATTTTAACTTTTTTAAAAAGTTTAAAAAGTGTAAGAGTATAATGAAACTTTTGAAAACTCAAAAGTATTTTGAAACCCTTTTGAAAGTTCAAGGGTATTTTTGAAACAAAGTATTAACCGTTTTCCTCCAAAACTATCGGTAAGGTTAACTTTGAACTTTTTTGAAAGTTTAAAGGTATTATTAAGACTTTTTCTCGAAAGTTTGGAGTATTTTTGAGACAAATGATTAAGTTTGATAGTATTTTTATGAATTTAGCCTTTTTTAGAGGAAGAGGTGCACAAGTCGAAATGGAATGTCGAATGAATATTTGAAAATGATCATGGAACTTTTGAAGTATGATATTATGGAAAAGAACCTTAGTGTTTTTCCCATGAACATGAATCCAAATAGTGTGAATGTTAATGACCATTTGTAAATGTTCAATGGACCTAATGGACCTTTAACTCCACACCTTGGTTCATCATGGGAATATACAGTTTTGTTAGTAAAGATTAGAATTCTGATCTGAATACTTTCTGTGGCATTTGACATTTAGTTTGGCTGTTGAAAACGTTGGCCTCGCACTACTGAAAGTAGTAGTAGTGGAAGGCTGAGTAATAGATACGGGTGTCCCAAATTCTGACAGAAACTCCCTCTCTGTTGTTGTTTTTGTCTAAGATTATTATTGGGTTGGTGGTATCTTGTTTGTGCAATGCATTTATTTATATATGTTGTATTACAAAGTGGGTTGCGTGTTGTTACATACCTTTATTTGCTTTTCTTCACTCATTATCATTCTCCATTTACTCTTTTTATATTTCTAATGCTAACATATTGGTTTTGTGTAGGGGTCGGTTTCCCTCTTCAAGAAACAACCACGTGTGATAATAAGAGGTTTTTTTTTTTCTCTTCTTCAATATTATGAATAAACCACGAGGAACTTAGGACTTAAATATTTTAACAAGTTTGTACGTTAGTAGATGAGTTTGAGTTAAAATGTTTGGGTTTACTACACAAAAGAGATACCCGTTGAATTCGAGTCATAAAAAAAAAAATGTATATTGCTAAATTTGTTTATTGATTTTTTTTTCTTTAAAGTTCAAATTAGTCTCTATTTGTTCTAGTTTTAGTTAAATAGGGTCTCCATGATTGGATCTAATATGACATCTAAATGTTAGCTTTGCCTCTACCCTAGCTCAAGATTATCATGAAATAACGTCACATTACATTTAGACCATTTTAGTTCTCAACAACACGATCTCTCGTGCTTCTACACTTATTGGGAACTTCATTGTGCTGAGCTTGGACCTTTTTTTAGGTTAAAACAAGGTTATTATACTTTATCTATTAGGTGATTCAGACACTTATTTGGATCTATCGAAACATAATAATTTTTATTGGATTCTATCAGCGTACTTCAATGTCTATTGGGCTTCTATTGATCTAATGGTTGTCCAATAGAATTTATTGATTTTTAAGACCATTCGAATGAGTATCATATTCTTTCTTTATATGATTTGTTCTATGATCTACCATTCTCTCCCAACAATAGTTTATTTATCAAAAGAAAATTAAAAAAAAAAAAGAGACATGAACATTTTATTCTTTAATAGTATAAATGTTTATTCCTATTGTGAATCACATAATTTTCCTTTTTTTTTTTTTTTTGCTAAAGTTCAAAAAATATAAAGTAGACATGAATGTTAATACATTACATCTTTTTTCTTTTGGCTAAAATTCAGAAAAGGAAAAGCAGGCGAATGTCTGAATGTTTGATTCTCTTAATAGCACAAATGAAAAAGAAAAAGCAAACGCTGACATATGATTCTCTTAATAGCATAAATGCTTAGTTCTCTCATGTTAATACATCACATCTTTTTTTTGGGGCTAAAATTTGGAAAAGATAAAACAGACACAAACATTTAATTCTCTTAACAGCACAAATGTTCTTTCCCTAAATTACATCTTTTTTCTTTTTTTCTTTTTTTTTTCTAAAATTTTAAAAGAAAAAACAGATATAAACATTTGATTCTCTTAGTAACATAAATATTCGTTAATATAACGAAGTAAATCATCATACAATTATATCGAAAAAGAGAAAGATTAACAAAAAAATGTCAAATCAATGACAGAGTTTTGCCAGTCACCGAACATAAAAAGTTCTACAACTACTTAACATTCACAAAAAAAAGACTCACTGGAATACTCTCGATTATTCTCCATGATTAGGATAACCAAATGACTAGGAAATACGATGGATTTTTTTCCGATAAGTATAGAACTCAATCGTTTGAGGCTCATTCATTCTCATGGGAATTAGTAGAGAACGAGAGAAGTGAACTGAGTCAACAACAATTCGTTTAAAATAAATTCTCGAAAGTGTATACCTACGCTTATGCACGTAAATACTCATATAACACAGTTGTTATATATAAGTACTACATCAACTTAAGTATAATTCAATTGATTTAACACGTTTGAATCTCGTATGTGTATATAAAAGTGTATTATCATTTTCAATACAAATTTTCTTTTGATTTAATCCATATTCTTCATGAAAAAAGCAACCCACTTGCAGTTGGAATTGGAGAAGATGAAGCACTAAGAACCAAACCATTCCAAGTGCGTTCGTCCATATCTTTGGATTTTGATGCCTTTTTATTCCCACAATAATTTCATGAACTCATCTATCATTCAACCATTTCCTCAAACAAATAGCCGTGTTCGATATTCGAGGGTCGAAAAAATCACATCCCTCTTTGAAAAATGATATGATATTGTCTACTTTAGCTGTACTTTTACTTTCAATCTTCTTTCGAGAATATTAGTAAAGTTGCAACAAGGTCTAATAATCTCAAAACTCGAGATCGAGACACTTTAAGAAAATATAAACTAAACAAGGCACGAGAAAGAAAAAAAAAGACCCAATGGCTCGTAAATGAACATCGATAACTATTTAACCTCTAAACTTCAAAAAAACGTCTAATAGATCACTGAACTTTCAACTTTGTATCAATAGGTAATCCATTATTAAAATTTATGAGCCTACTAGATATAAAAAAGATTAGATTAAAAAAAATTTGAGAGTCCAAGGACTATTTTCACGACTCTAATACGGATTAAACGAAAACGAAGACAACATAACGGAAAAGCACAAACGAGGACCTCACTTTTTGACACACATTTTTTTTATTTTGGTAGGGTTTGGGCCACTTAGGTGTCCTTTAAGTGAATTGTGGATATATCACATACTTCGAATTGTAGTGGACAACATGAAGCACGCCTCATCCCTCCCTGTCGCTTTGTCTAATGATTTACACCTCAAAGTTTCTCACTTTTGTTGTGTGCACTTGCGTTCTCAACTTTTCTTTTTCCTTTTTTTATTAGTCCACTCGAGTATAACGCAACTGGTTAAGACATGTCTCTCAATAATCTGTGGGACCATCCGCCCCAAACACGATGGAGATGATTCCCCTCTTAAATAAGGAACATAGTAGCTAGTGAAAAGAACTAAATAGGGTCGGGAACGGAGAGTATATTCCCGTCCCATCCCCAACTCTACCAAATCTCTATCCTGCCCCTTACATAAACAATTCAATCCCCTTGAATTTTCACTTCGATATCTGCAATTATTGGAAATGAGGACTGAAAAAAGCTTCCTTCTTCCCGGTTCATGAATCAAATATAAGAGAACGTACTAAAAATGTTAATGAACTCGGAAGATTCATGAGTGCATCATTACCAATGCTACCGACAATAATATAAAGGAATAACAACATAATTAATCCCTTAAAAAGGATTGACTTTTTAAAAATGTTTTGACTTTTGTGTGTCGGAGCCACAATGGCTTAATATGATATCCCGTTAAAAAATTCTTGAAAACGATTGAAATGAAGCTGCCCATCTCCAAAACAAATATTTTAAAAAAAAATTCAATAATATCCTAAAAATCTTTAAATTTTAAAAATTTCATTAATACTAAAAAATTAAATAATTCTTTCGCTACCAACAATACCGACTGCATGCACGTTCTAGGATGCTCTTATTATACTAAATCGTGGAAAAAGCTATATTTTTATAAAAAATCGACGTACTATCTTAATGTCGGGAGCTTGTAGCATTTGCCAAATGTTAAGCGCTTACATATTAAGGTTTTAACGTCTTCTCGTTTTACCTTTACAAAAGTACAATGACATCTAACCCTTTTAACACGGTTCTTAGTTCCCGAGCTAACCAGCGATAACCTAATATCTTATAAAAATATCTTTTGCTTCGATTTTTAAATAATGATAATAAAATAATAGTAATTATAATAATAGGTAGTTAAAAGTGGAGTATCCAACAAAATTTTGATAGTGGAGTCACCCCACGCTTGCAAAAGCCTTTCTCAATCCAATCCTAACATCCCACAATCTGTAGCAGTGGAACCAACACAACATATTCCTCACCTTTTCGGTGGTCGGATATTCGATAACGTTCACTTATTAAAAAATTAAATAGAGCGTTTTTAATAAGGCGGTGAATTACTTGAAGTACGAGGATGGGAGCAAATGGTCGTGAACGTGTTCTTAACTTTATTTGTAAAGGATCATTAATCATGGAGTGATTGAAAATTAAGATACCCATATTGTCCACTTTGAGCCTAAGCTTCTCAAAAGACCTCATTCTAATGGAGTTATTATTCCTCACTTATAAATCTATGATCATTCTAGATGAGACTTTCGAGGTACTGATAAGAGGTTTCAAATAAAACCCGATTGATAAAATTTCCGAGCTGGAAATATAAAAATGGATGGAATAATATGGCAATTAAAAATAAATAAATAATCAAATAAAAGGCATTAAATTCGAGTAAAAAGTTAGAGGTAAGAATTAAAAAAAAATAAATAAAAATAAATAAAAAAAATTGCTCCTATAAAAGGATTCTCACAAGCATCTCAAAAAATCCCGCCCAAAACTTCCGCCTCCCTGTTTCATAGACTCTCATTATATTCCCATTTTCCCCCTTTCTTGCTCCTTAAGGCGATGGGTCCAGCAGTTCTGAGTTCCCACACCAATGGCTTCTCCAAATCAGTAGATCGAAACTTCGAAGAGAAAAGCAATTACATCAATGGAGATTCTTCTCATGAATCGGTAATCAATAATGTTAATGGCAACGATTGCTATTGGTTCGAGGAAATCATCGACGAAAATCTCAAATGGTCTTTTGCTCTGAATAGGTATTTGATTTCGCTAATTAACTTCCAAGTCTCTTCGTATTTCTCCGTTCTAATTCCATCGCCGATTCATTTGTAAATCCGTTTCTTCTCTTCAGCGTTCTGCAGAAAGGAACCAGCGAGTTTCAGGATATCGCGTTATTAGATACCAAGTGTTTCGGAAAAGTGCGTTTATCAAGTTTCGATTTCCGTTTCTGTTCGGCGATTTTCTGCGATTCTTGAAAATTTTCAATCGGATTCGTTTTCTTCTTTCCTCGTTGTAACTTTATGAGATGATCTGATTAAGGTTTGTGAGTGTAGGCATTGATGATCGACGGGAAGATGCAGAGCGCTGAAGCCGATGAATTCGTCTATCATGAATGCTTGATTCATCCCGCACTATTATGCCATTCCAAGTGCGTTTTCCTTTGGCACCATTATTTGTTCACATCTCCAAATCATTGGTTAAATTAATAAAAATATTAGTAAACTTTTTTTTTTTTTTACACTTATTTTTTTTTTTAAAAAAACTATGACTATTTTATATCCAATGCCTCCACTTTCAAATTATTTCAAAAATACATTTAAATTTTTTTATATAATTAAAAAATACCTTTATTTTTAATAACATATTTAAAAAAATATCCATAAATTTTTAACAATACTATTGACATTATTAAATTTTATAAAAAAAAAGTTAAAATTTTTTTTAAGGTCAATACATGAACAAAACTATTTATTTACAACTCATCATTCTCCTCATACCAATGGTAAAATAAAAATTAACTTTTTTTTTCTTTTCAAAATTTAAGTGTATTTTTAAAAAAATATGATCTGAACTTATCTAAAATTAAGGGTTTTTTTTTTTAAAGATATTTTAATTTTTTATAAAGTGATATATTTTAGAGAAAGTATAAAGTTGGAGTATTTTTTATTAATTTAACCTAAATTATTTTCAGTTTTCTTTATTATTAAATGAAACATATTATAAATTATCAATTACGATAACATGATGAATAGAGGATCGAATCTCCCTCCTCGTCAACTAAGAAAAGTTCAATAACTTTTTATTTTATAAACTGTACTAATGATTTGACGATTTGGCTAATGTTTTTGTTTTATTCTTTTTTTTTTTTTTTCGAAAGATTAATTTAGGAAAAGAGTGAATCTAAGCTAAAATCTTAATAGTTGTATAATAATGTGAATTATGTCTTCGGAATTAACTTGATATTATTATAATACAATTATTTATAGCCCGAAAACGGTATTCATAATGGGAGGTGGGGAAGGTTCAGCGGCAAGAGAAGTCCTCAAACACAGATCAATAGAAAAAGTTGTCATGTGCGATATCGATCAAGTAATATTACTCGAACTTCTTCAATGTCGTTGAACAAAAAAAAAAAAAATTATAACTAAATTTATTTAATTTTCATTCCACAAAACCTATGTGTTGTTTGCAGGATGTAGTGGATTTCTGCCGTAAATATTTGACTGTGAACCAGGAGACATTTTGTCACAAAAAGCTTCATCTTGTAATAAACGACGCCAAGTAAGTTAATTAATCATTTATTTATACATAAATTTATTTTGAATTTTGGTTATAATATGATATAATTATAAAAAAACTTTGAAAAGGGCGGAATTGGAAAAGAGAAAGGAGAAATATGATATAATTATAGGAGACCTAGCAGACCCTGTTAAAGATGGGCCTTGCTACAAGCTCTACACCAAATCCTTCTACCAGGAGATCGTCAAGCCAAAGCTCCACGACAATGGCATCTTCGTAACTCAGGTTTCTCAACCTTATTATATATAAACTGCATTATTCATTTAATTTTTTTACAATATAGTTTTTCGATAACTCTAAGGTTTGCAGGCAGGACCTGCCGGGATTTTCACCCACAAAGAGGTTTTTACCTCCATATATAACACAATCAAACAGACATTCAACTGTAACTCTCTCTCCCTCTCTCAGTAATTATGAATTTTAACCCCAAGTAAGATTAGTTGAACTCCTCTGTTTCTTGGTGCAGATGTGATTGCTTACACGGCTTACATACCATCTTTTGCAGACACGTGGGGATGGGTTATGGTATGATATATTTAAATTTAGCGAAGTCATGTCTGTTGTGAATGAATTTAACTTTATGTTGTTAAAAAACAGGCATCAGATCATCCTTTCTGTATAAAATCTGAGGATTTGGATAAGAAAATTGAAGATAGAATCGATGGGGAGTTGCTCTATTTAACTGGTCCTTCCATTGTGTCCTCCACCATTATCAACAAGATGGTTTCTTTAGCGTAAGTTCATCCAACTTTATTCAATATTAGATGTTTCAAAACTACTAATAGGATATGAAATTGTATGGTGATAGCTTACAACTTCACTCTGTTCTAGGTGTCTACCACTCTAGTTCAAGATTTCGTAGACGGTTTTCTTTAGATTTTTCCTCAATGTTTTTAAAATGGATCTGCTACATAGAGATTTTCGCACCGTTATAAAGAATTTTTTGTTCCCTTCTCTAACCGATGTGAGATCCCACGTCGATTGGAGAGGGGAACGAAACATTGTTTATAAGAGTGTGAAAACCTCTCCCTAAGAAATATGTTTTAAAATCGTGAGGTTGATGATGATACGTAATGGGTCAAATCAGATAATATCGGTGGACTTGAGCTGTTACAATCTCAAATGGTAATGATTTTGAGTTAATGAGTGATTTAATGTTTATAACTTGATCAGGTTGTTGAATGAAACTCATATCTACACTGAAACGACTGCAAAATTCATACATGGTCAAGGAGTTGGATTCAAGCAACAGAATGGCGGGAGTTGTCGTGGTGTATAAATATAATAATTAAAGACCTTAAACCATAACACTTTAATATTAGACATCATTAAGAAGCCCAATCAACATTTGTACTCCTTTAACTTAAATAAAGTGTTGGAGAATAGTTTTATTTTGTATATGCAAAGGTAAACACTATTGGATATGTAATGGATAAAGGTGTTTAAGTAAACTAAAATCTTTGGCAATGGATATTATTATTACTATCAAAGTTATCATTACTCGTTTTTTAAGATCAATTCTATAATTGAGAGATATTAAGATTTCAATTATAATCACGTTGTGATTGTCTTGACACTTTGTTACGTGTGAACTGTCTATTCTTGCTAGGCATGTTTTTAATACCTCATTTAGAGATGACTGACAATATCAATTAAGTTGAAGTGATCCATCTTCTAAATGAATTGATGATGAGTGTAACAACTCATGCTCGCCATTAGTAGATATTGTCTGCTTTGATCCGTTACATATCGATGTCAGCCTCAGTTTTAAAATGCATCTACTAAGAAGAGGTTTTCACTCTCTTATAAGAAATGATTCAATCTCCTTTCCAACTCATGTGGGATCTCATAATTCACTTATCCACGGTCATCATCCTTGCTGAAACACTACTTGTGGTGTCTGACTCTATACCATTTGTAACAGTCAGAAGGTCACCATTAGTCGATACGGTTCACTTTGACCCGTTACGTATTGCCGTCAGCCTCACGGTTTTATAACACGTCTGTTAGGGAGAAGTTTTCACACCATTATAAGGAATATTTCGTTCTCATCTCCAATTGATGTCCAATTTATGTAGGATTTCATAATCCATCTCTTTTCGGAGCCAACGTCCTCGGTGACACACCATGCGGCGTGTGACTCTGATACCATTTATAGCCGTTGAAAAGATAAGGTTAGTTTTAAGGAAATCTTTTTCTAGAAGACATTTTAAAGCGGTAGGCTAGTACTTACGGACCAACACCGCAATATCCGCTGGGTTGATAAAGGCATTGTAAATATGGCGGTTATTGCGTGGTCAGTTTGTTATTGTATTGTCCGCCAAAAAAATAAAAATGCAAAATTCAATGATTTTCCAAATTGTTTTGGGTATTGGGCCGTTAACAGCTTATCGGGCAGCTACGCTGCTGGGCTTTTAAAAAGCCCTCGGACGATATTGGAGGGGATAAAATGGATTAGACGCAATCTCCTCGAGGGGAAAGGATCGTCCGAATGTCCTATCGTCAATGGCGACACCAACCACTCCTTCGCGAATTAGTTCGGAGCAGTTCAAATCGTTCACTTCAATCCTTCCGCCTCTGCCGCTGAGATTCACCGCCGCCAAAACTAAGAATCAATGGCGAGTGAGGTGCGCATTGTCCTCAAACAATTGGCGGGAGAGCAGGCGACTGTTCTCCATCTCTCTTGTCTTCTCAAATTTGTTCCTGATTCCTCACCGTATGCGTCGTTATGTTCATCGAATTATATGTCGTTTATGTTAGTGCTGCTGGATGGACAAATTCGTTGAGTACAGTTTAAAATGTTTTCTCTGCAGATGCCTCTGCCGGAAGCTTTCTGGACAAATACGTGAAGAAGTAACGATCGTTTGATATTTGTTTGAGACTTTCCCTGTCTGCTGAGGTTCATCGAACTTATTCTGATGCATTCTATTCAGGAAAAAGCTGGATCCGCTTGAAGTTTATGTTCCAGCCGTCATATTGACGCAGTTACAAATCAAAGACGTCGGTAATTAAGCAAGATATCTTCTACGTCTCTGTATTTTTTGGACTTTGTGTGCACTTTATAAACAAAATTTTCATCGTTTGTGTGTAGGCTTGATCCGTGGTTCAAAATTTCACATGTAAAAGCATGCATGTTTGTTGATATCTACGCAATTTTATGTAATGCTAACTGTTTTTTCTTATCAATCGCAGGGAAAATTTTGGAAAGTAGTAAACCAGAATACGCGACATGCCGATCTCTCTTGCGTTCTGGAATTGCATCATCACTTCGAGTAAATATTCGAGCAGTAAGTTGAAAGCCTTTTGCAATTATTGCATGTTCCTCGATCTTTCCTGCTCTTTCAAATTCCCGTACTCCATTTGACGTCGTAGAGTTCGAGTATTCCCGTTTTCCTTTCCGTGCGCTGTTGTCAAATTTATTACTCATTTCTGTTAGCTACTGTTGTGAAGTATTTTACTCAATTCTGTTAAAGAATATTTTGAAAAGAAACTTGATATCAGAACAGTTGTTACTAAGATCAAACTCCTGCAATTTTAATCCCTCTCAATTTTAATTGTTCATGCGTTGCTCACCTAGGAGAAAAGTGTTTGAGAATATATTGATAAGATTGAATATACTCTGATCTATCCATTAAGTTTTTGGATTTCGCCGTAATAGAATGCATGTGCTCGTTTAGGCAAGCTTGTCTCATTTAAACTGAATACATGCATATGTAGTCCTCATTGCTATTCTGATATTTCATATTGGATGTTCTTTACAGCAATATTGTTTGTTCTCGATTGCGTTTACTTCTCTTCAGTTATTTCCGTTCATCAATTTTTAAAGAGTTGTGGAAATTTTTGTTTCAACAATAGGTTGCACAATATGCCTCGGAGGATGGAAATGGAAACATTGCGTTTGACAATGTTGATCAATGTCTCAGGTTTTTGTTAGCCTTTTTTGAGTTCAGAGGAATCTGATTTTGAAGATAATGTCAAATTCAGCCTTAAAATGATAGCTTCTGCTGCTTGTGGTAGTTTATGTGATGTGAGGGACTTGTTATTACTTTATTCTGAATGTTATGGCCTGAAAATCCATCCGAATCTTACACTTTTTGCGTCTATTAAATGATCCATTTCTAACTTTTGTAAACATTTGAACTTGTGAAGGGCCCTGGAAGAACTTGATTCTTCCCTTTTACGTGCCACAAGAAATGATCGTGGAACCTCAATTGAGTCGATGAAGACCAATATTGACACTGCCGTCCTTGCTCTAGACCGGTAACCTACTTTTGATTCATTACTAAGGAACATATATGATCGGCATCTCATTTTTCATTCAAGACTTTCTAAGTTTGGATTTGTGTTCTGGAAGCCTGAATTTCTGTAGTAGTCTATGTGGGGATTTGCTGAGAAATGGATAATAAAAGCGTGAACTTACATAGATTTTGTTGAGTTTATTGCTTTGGTGATTTATAAAGGTAAATCCGTGATCTAAGAGGGTAAGTTTAAAACCTAAGCTTATAATCTATTACTTAAGAACATATTCTTAGGTAGTTAAATCGAGATCTGTGCTCATATTGTGAGTTACAGAGCACAGCCTTCAGGAATCAGAATGTTTCAGTGTCTAATCGAGACCATATCTAATCCCACAACCAGTCAATATCTTTTATGTTTCTGAACAAAGCTGCTAAAAGTCTTCCTTTATTACAGGCTCCTTCAAACTGTTCCTCCTGATGTCCTGGCTAAAGGGCAGGCTATTGCTGATGCTTATAATTCTCCTGAAGAGGAAGAAACCGAAATTGCAGACCCAGAACTGAAGCAGTTGGAATCTATTTTATGATATAGATATCCTGTAGAACTGAGGATTCATCCCAACTCAAGCAATCTTCTTTAATGTGAGTATTCCATTATTGAAATTAAATGTGTTAAATAACAGAGATATATTTACGCATATTTGACACTGTTTAACATATTATTTAATTTATATAGGTCCAGTTTGATTAGGTAATTGTCTTCACTCTTCTCTTACTTTTTTTAGTTTTGGAAACTTTGTTTTTTCATTGTTAAGCTTTTAAGTTGTTTTTTCCGTTTGAAAGAAAGCGGTAGGGAAGATTAGAATAAATTAAGTTTGTAACGACCTATGCCTAGGATTCAGAATTTAGATTCGGCTACCATGGAGTTTTTATGATTGAGCCACCGAAAAGAATGGTACGCCTTATTGGTCTGAGTAGTAACTTTCAATTTTTCAAGTCTTTCTTAGATATCCTATTCTCAAGATCATTATCATTCTGATATAGTCTCGGTTCATTCATGTCCTCTTTATTTACTTGAGTGTCACATGCCCACCAGCTTTCGCCTTGGTTCGTCCTACATAGGTAGTAACTTTCGATTCTTTTAAGCTTTTTTTTAGTCGTCCTATCCTCAATGGATGTGATCCCAGTTCATTCATGTACCACTTTTTAACTCGTTACTCGTACAAACCGGAATAAATAGGAAATGTGATAGAGAGGCATTCAATTGAACGTTTACAGTTACATTCTTAGTTATAAAATCAACATTGGGCCGACTACTAATTTCTGTAGGCCCATTAATAACGTTGGGCTTGAACAAGCCTTATATGAAAAAACACTCTTTCCTTATTCTTTCTTTAAAGCATACGGGAATTGCTACATGTACCTCTCTCTACTTTTTCATCATCTAACAGCCCTTGAATCTAAATATTATCAGATTTACTCTCTTTTCACTAATATTAGATTAAACGAGTGTACCAATCTATATCTCTCTTTTATATTAGTGAGCTTTAAGTTTGTTTCATATTTTGCTAACACTGACTGTCAAGAAATCAAAAACAATGGTTCGAGGACGGAGAAATTTCACAAATTATATGTTGGTCGAGAAATGAAATGACCTTCAACAAAAGAGAAGAATTGTACACGAGTTCTGATGCTTAAGATGGAGGTAATAGTTTATCAAGTTTGCAAAATTTTTAGTTTAGTAGATGAGGAAGCAGTCAATCTTTATAGTAATCTTTATAGTATTTATAATAACGTATTCATATGTTTGATTTAGATTCTCCCATTAAATTGGAAAAAAAAAATTATTAATACTTTCAACTCATACCATTTTAATATAAAATTAAAATTACATATAAATATCTATATATATAGGTATAAAACGATTCTTTTTATCATCTTTTTGAAAAATTGGTCCAAATATACATAAATTAATATTTAAAATTATTTGAATGTTTTATTGAAAATGAAATCGATGGTTTTTTTTTTTTTTTTTTTGAGCCTCTAATTATTATTGAGAAGATGATGAGGAAAACTTTGAAGGTTAACAAAAAGGTAATTATAGTGTAAAAAGGCAAAAAAGTTTGAAAGGAGTAAAAAGAAATAACGAGGATGGTGGAGGGTATTTTTGACTTTTAAGAAGGGATAGTGCCACGTCATCAGGGTAATGGTGGTGAAGAGGGTAGAATTAGAATAGTTGATGATCCCAATGAAGGGTCCTTTATATTATTATTATTATTATTATTATTATTAGTAGTAGTAGTAGTTTCATTTTCAGCTTTCCCTTTTCCCTACAAACTGAAATATTCTCACTATGCCAAATTCAACACCCTTCATTTATTTCAAATTTTCACTTTTTAAAAATGTTTTAACATTAAAAAAAAACATTTCCAATAGTTCCTTTCTTTTTTTCTTTTTTTAATTGTTCTTTTGGTTCTTTATTGAAAATCTTACCCATTGACTAACATTTGTCTTTGTGAGTAATTTCTAGTTGAGTTTCAAAAGCATTCTTGAAATCATAGGCAGTTTTGAAAAATATGAACATTGAGTTGTTTTCAAAAGTGCTTTTGAAAAACCAAAATATCAAACATAGTCAAGTAATATTCACATGCTCTATTTTTCTTTTTAATTAATTATATTCAACTTGCATATATTTTTAATTATAATTACTTTAGATACCAACCTATATGGCCGAACACATGCTTCCCAAAATAAGTTTAGTCACTGAGTGGCCAAATTCGTTGCGGAAGAAGGATGAATCTTCCTATTGAAGACTTAAATATTGTATCGGTAACTTTCAAACATTTCAATGAGCATGGTACTTAAAAGATTTTGCCAACTTTAGCTATAAATTTACCTACATTATACAATTTCAAGTACAATAAGAATGAATAAATAAGGCAACCAAACTATGAGTGCAAATTAATTTCACATCTCAATAATTGAAATCGATCATTTTAAAAAGCCTCCCGAACAAATAATTCAATAAAAAAAAATGGTCCAAAAAAACAGAGAAATTATGATAATTTCAATAGGTTAGGGTCCCCAAAACTTAGAAATTTTCTTCACCTTCCTTTCATTATTCCTCTCAATCATTACTGGTCAAATCCTGCAACATCTACCCAGAAAAGTCAAACATGAATAATACCTCTTATTTTTATTTTTACATTAAAAGATTCAATTGATTGGATAATTATTATTTACCTAAAAGGTTACTCACAAGTACATTCATTTTCTTTGTTATTTTCTTGGCTAATTAATTTAATCTTCTTTCTTTCTTTCTTTCTTTCTTTGAGCTTTTAGTTATAAATTCTAATATTTTTTAATTTATTTATCATTATTTTTCATAACAATTTTGCATGAATTAATAACATATACTATAATTGACACTGATTTTTCAATAATTGTTGAATATAAAGTATTTGTGGGTCTCAATTTATTGCTTCCTACGCTTGCCGTATTTTTTTTTTTTTTTTTTTGTTAAATAAAAATGTATTTTTATTATCATATAAAATAAATTATAAATTATACCAAGTCTCTAGAAGCTCTAAAGTTAGCATTTCAATTATGTTTTTAGATTTAGAACACTCTAATTTTACTCTTGAGTTTAATTTTTTTTTTAATAAAATACTTTTGTAATGAATTTGATGTTGTCGTTAAATTGTTAATATATAAATTTATGAGCCATAAATACGATATTTTAACATTGATGTGTAAATGTTAATTTATGTAAATTATTTTATGGCCTAAACCTTTTATACGGTGGATCATAAGTTGTTATCTTATTTTTTTTCTTCAAAATTTAGAAGTAAAAATTAAAATTTTGAAAATTTAGGGAAATAATTAAAACTAACTCAAAAAATTTATTGTTGCATGCCTATTGAATTTTAATTCCTAAAAAATATATTCTGTATTAGTCTTACATTAATAATTCTATTAATGATAAAAAAATAATATACAAATTCAAGGAGCAAGACATGTAATTGACATGTTTTTTTATATTAAAAGTCCAAATTCTGAGATATAAAACTAATATGTTAGCCACCATATGTATTTTCCCTCAAAATTTATTTTTTTATCTCATATTATTATACGAATTTATTATATTTGTCTCATATCACCATAAGATCGAGAGAGAAACTAAACATTTATTGTAAGGGTGCGAAAATAGTAGACACGTTTTTTAAATCTTGAGTGGAAGTAAAAACCCTTTGTGCTATTACAAATGGTATTATAACTAGACACGTGTCGGTGTGCCCTTAAAACTCATTAAAGTGAAAACTCATTAGGGTATTACGAGACACGGTTCACGTGCCCTTAAAACCCAAATAGAACAATATTTATCTAATACCGTTTCAATGCAGCTCTAATCGAACAAAACAATAACCATAATTTCTAAAATATTAAAAAGGAAGATCAAATACATGTATATATTTTTATCATTATTAATATTAGTTTTCTTGGTAACGCAAGGTTGAAGGAAGTGAGAGTCCAATTCCAGAGGAAGAAAGGGAAAGGAAAGCACAAAGCTTTATTGTTCTTCGCTTTCTCTATTCCCATGGCTTCATCTCTCTCTCTTTTCCCCTTTTCTTTCCCTCTCTCATTTTGCTTCTGATTACGATCTCTCGAATCTTTCCTGTTTCTTTCTTTCTCTGTTTCAGTTCTTACGCCATTGATGAACAACATTAAGCTTTCATCCTTCCAAATAACCTTTTCATTTCGTTTAATTCACTTACAGAAGACAATATACGAATGTCATTCAATCTAACACTGCACTCATAATAACCCCTTTGAAATGGCTCGATTCTTTTCCACGTGAGTTGTTTCATACACCGGAAGTTCTTCGCCGTACCGCCGTTGTCCGATCATTTCCAGATGATCCAGCTCGAAAAGATCAGAGCTTGAACAGCTTGCAGCGTCGTCGTCGTCGTCGCCGCCGTTTTCGATCTGGGTCGGAACGAACTCTTGATGATTTCTTGTCTTTTTATGGAGTTCTTTTAATTTCCTGCTCTTTTCTGCGAATTGGGATTTTAATTCTTTTTCCTCTGGTTTTTGAACTGCCGGCCGGCCGATTTTCCAGGCGGTCGGAATTGACACCGGCATTAGACTCGATCCGTCTTCTTCGTCGAAAATGACACTAACTGGGCAGAAATGAACCGTTCTTTTTGCCCCATTTCCTCTCGATGAAGCAGAGTTTTTGCTGAGACACGATCTTGTAAACGAAGAAGCCGACGAACAGGTCGATTCTTCCCCTGTTTTCACTTTCTTCTCCGTCGCCGGCGAGTTCTTAGACTTTCTGGTATTTCCGGCGGTGAAGAGCGAGTTAATTAACCCGGCGAGTCGGACCCCCGGAGAAATTGGTTGCTTAACTTTCTTCAACCCACTTGATTTTGAATTTGGTAATTCATCGAACTCACGGTGGTTAATTTTTCCATGAAACAGAGTCTTTTTTCTCTCTGTTTCCGGCAACCGGCTGCAGGCGCCGGTGCGAATTGTCTTGAGCCTCGACGACGTAAAACAGGACGAAAGGGCAGAGGATTTTGTTCCAAACGCCGATTCGGAGTCGGAAGAAGAGAAACCGCCGGAACTGGAATCGGAAGAATTGGAAGTTGAAGTGAAAAACAGAGCATCACGATCATGGTCGAAATCGAAAGGCATTTTTCTGGACGATTCTTTCTTTATATAAGCATCGGCTTTTTCGTCGATTCTCTTCGCCATCCATTTCTCGATCATGCAAGTTCGCCGGATATTAACCATTTCTTGGTCTTCAAAACCTCTGGTTTTGCTCTGTTTTCTCGCCGTCGATGTTTCTCTGTAGAATTTCGTCTCGCCGTCGGTGATAGATCGGTAAATTTCGTCGAGGAGAGTGGAAGAAAAAGATGGGTTTCTGTGTTCATACTTATCCCACTTCTTCATCGTTAAATTAATGCAAATTGCAATGGATTTCTAGAGAGAGAGACAAGAGAGAGAGAGAGAGGAAATGGCAGGCGTTTGAAGAAGCAGTGGACAGGCAGATGCCTTTTATAGAGGGTTGTTCGGCGCGTGTAATGTACGCTCCATGCCAGCATGTCATTATCGACGTGGCAATAGAATTCTCTTTTTCCATGTTCCTAAAATGTCCCTCCGTAGTTCGAATTTAGAGCCGTCGATTCTGTTGGATGGGAGGTTCGGGTTAAGTATTTTTTTAAATTAAATTAAAAAAATTAAGCTTAAAATTTTATTTTTTAATATTCAATTTAAAATTTTCCTAATTTAATTTTATCTCATTTAATTAATTATTAAATTATTAACTTATAATTTGTATTAAAATTTGAAATATTCAAAATTTAAAATTCAGGAATTAATAAAATAAAAATGAAAGTAAATAAATGAGAGAT